ACTGGGGAAAATAATATTGTTTTACCATTTCATTCAAAATTATTATTTTCTTTAATTATTGTTTTTTAAAGCAAAGAAATGGCGGTATGCTGTATCATTGCTTTACGACACTTAAACTCATCGAGTTTTCACCAAAAAAAAAAGATCATTAATAATGATTTTAAACGAGAATTTAAAACAAAATTGCAGTTGGTTGTTTACTTTCTAGTGTGTTAGGTAACGTCTCGTTGTCAGCTGTGTAAACGCATGTTTTGTTTGTGCTGTTTCTGTGACATAACGTCGCTGTGGTGTCATAAGCCTCAGCTGTGGATAGACAAGAGGAGAAGAATTATTTTAACATTAATCATGCAATGTCTGGAAAAAAATCGAAAACTGTTTTAATTGTTGGGTTTGCGACTGATAACACGTCCGGCAACACATAATTGCTTTAAGTTTAGTTTTATAACAATGTTAATGAAACATTAACGCTTTGGAGTTTAATTTATATTCAGGTTACTTGACAAAACCTGCATTCGAGAAATGCACTTGATGAGATTCCCAATTACTGCTACCTCTCCCCCCCCCCTGCCCGGTGCGCCACCACTCCTCAACTCTATATTCTAATGCACAACCCAGTCTTACACAGCAGCTTTATTATGTTTAAAAACTGTTTTCATCAAACGATATAAACTATAACGCATCAAGGGCACCTGTATTTTATAAAATCTCATTTAGCTTTTTTTTTACAGGGAATTTTATTGATTGGATTCATCTCCCTATGGTAACGATAGTCCAACGATTATTGGACCGATGGTTGATGACCTCTAATAAAAATTAAACAAAGTCGTAAACAAGAATGAGTAGCATCATTGAAATGAAATTAGAGACGATGCAATGAGTTGTGTGAGAGATCCTGCTTAACGGTGGATATGACAAGTCAACTCTTCTAGCTCTAACAGTTATTACAGTTACTTACCGGTAAAGGTGTTAGTGAAATCTAAGTCGTCTCTATGTCCTTTACATTCTAACATGAAGTCTTTGTTAGCTGAAAGTATGTCATGACATTAAAGAAGTTTTAAAGCACGGATTCCCGTTATTATTTCAAGTCTCGGCAATCTGTTAAAGTTATTGTTTTGACACAACTATCAATCTCAACATAGTCTAAATTATACAAAACAGCATTTAAAACTGTGAATACATAATTAGTAAAGTATTTTCTAAATGATGTAATTAAATTTATACTGTTAGGGCAAACATGTTTTCATTTATGATATAAACTAATTTATCTGTTCATTCGTAAATTAATTTAAACATCAGTGGTTAAGATGGTTTATAAAGAGAGTTAATATCCAGTTACCGGACACCTCTATCCAGATCAGACCAATGGATATATTAACTTCAATAGCAACCGATGTTGCCAATACATTCAGTGTCTCGCCAGGGAGTCTGAAAGACATTAGACAGGTTTTAGATTTGTCTTCAAATGTATAGATTAAGAAACATACATAATGTTTGTATGTCATAAAAGGTAACTAAGTAAACGCATATAAAACTAAATTTGCCATTTGCTGCAATTGGGAATTCAAGCCTTCATTTGTGTACGTACAAAAATTTCCTAATTTAAATGCAATACAATGTATAACTAATACATAAAAAGACGGTCTCAAAATGCCTACATTTTACATGAAGTAGTAGATATCGTGACCTTATTATTATAAAACATAATTATGGATAAGTCAGTAAAAATAATGAGCTATCAACTACTAACAACCAAGCTAAGGATATGATATTTTCAGCAAACGAACTTTAATGTTTAGAATCTAATAAAACTCAAACTAACATGTTTTGCTTTTAGTCAAAAAATGGGTTTATTGTAATATAAAAATATTTTAGTTGGGTTCAGTGGCGTCTACACAGGGAGGGGGGAGGAACCAACCGCATCCAATTTGATGTAGAAGTGGAATTAAATCATGCACACATATATATATTATTTAGGATCACCCCGATTGTAGGCTAAACACCTAGTTTAAAAGTATATTGTGAGAAAAAGTGTGACCGGCCTTTACTCGGAACATAATGGAATTCAACTATGTTTCAATCGCTTTAAATTCTATTTTAAAATATTTAATTTAGTTCTTGCTGTTGGGCCGTTGTGCCTCCACCAAATATATCCCCTTCTTTCACCCCCCCCCACACACACACATAATCATAATGACAGTCCCTGCACCTTGTTAACTAAAAAAATTAACGACTCCTAGGTGGGACCAATTACATAACGTAAGACAGTGGATCCCAACATCTGTTAAGGGATTTGGTATATGCACACATTATATTGATAAATAATACATATAGAAAATAGCACAGTATTTTTTAAAACAAAATCATTCCTTTCAAAGAAGCAATAAGACTGATATGAAACATTGGGACAACGGAAAAAATAAGCTTTGGAACCGATGCCATAAGGCGGGCAACAGATTTTAAAAAATTATTTAATAGGAAATTGAATAGGAAAGAAATAACATTAGGCCTTTTTGTTATTGTGTCAAAATTTTGCGTTGATAGAAGCACTGACCAAAAGCAAAGCATGGTTAAGTTGCTATACTAAACCGAGTGGGCCAATATATTAGCCACCCATTTACATGTAATATTCTTAAGATAACTGAAAATGCTGCGACTTTATAAAAGGAACAAAGCGAGGGCGAATCAAACCCACCGCCCCCCTTTCTACGCTCCTGGCACTGTGCCATACGAAGATCTTATATCCCCCCCCACCTTTGAAAAAAAATTATCTTACTAAAACACTGCAAGCCAGTACATGTAGAAGTGATAAAGTTATATAGGGCAGAGGGATTTTGGCTTCCACAACTCAAGAGGGGTGAATAGACGCTCCTGGTGGGGGACATTAATCAATTGATTTAATATTTAAGTAATATTGGCATGCTTTATTTTGATTTGTTGACCGATGAAGAATAGCTTTCATTATTATTTTCAATTTCTAAGCATTTTAACTAATAGAATAGCTCTTATAGTAAACCCAAAATTGCGATATAAGTTAAACCAATAGCTGACTGACCTGCTCCATGTGTAATATCTTTGTTTAGTTCGGTTAATTGTTACATTGATATATCCGTAACAAAATGAAGGATAAAGTCCAGTTACATTGTGGCAATCCCTTCCGGGCCCAAATTCTGCATGAAGCAACGTGAATTCAACATTGCCGTAATTTCCTTCTATCTCACAATATCTCAAAGTTTGTGACCTGTGTGGTTCAATAACCAGATAATATTTCAGGTAACCAATGTCAGTTACATGTTTTCTAAAGGTGGACTTCATATCAAAGACGAATGTATGATCAGGTCCTGAAAGAAATTACGCATAAACGTATTCATTTATGGAGATCACAATTTAATTTGGAGTTTAACATCTGGGAAACATTTCTTAAAGTCTACACAAAATCATTAAATTAAATTTTCATGTGACATCCCCAATGATGTAAAAATGTAGGAAATGAATCAGAATTTATTTTGAATTCTGAAAGCTTTTCGTTAAACCTTGTAAGTAAACATTGTGAAAATAAACAAATATATAATTAAACATCCTCTAAAGCAAAAAATGTAAATCCTGTGTATGCCTTTTGAACTGGGGGGGGGGTGGGGGTTGCCTGAAAATTCCATGAAATGTAATGTCATCGGCTACATTTCTGTGTGCCAAGTTTCAGCTGGATTGTATGGAGGGGCGTGTGACTTTGAACATTCCGAGATCTTTCCGCCATAAAGAAAAACATAAAAGCGAAGTTAACATGGAAATGTGAAAATAGGTATAGAGAGGTTTAATTAATCTAATAAACACTTTTAACTAATAATGGATAATTTCCCGACCAACTGTTTAGCATAAAAACCCATGCACATGTATCACAGGTGCGTGAAAGCTTTCCATCCACATGTAGGACTGGCAGGATGTCGTGTATGGGTATTCACCAGTAGCTGTTGCGCGTCGAATATTGTGTTTAATGGTGCTCGGTGTGTTATGGGAGTTAGTTGAGTGTTATTGATCACTTTTCCAACCTCTGGTTGGTGACGTCAATTAACCGTAAGTATGACTTATGGTATAGACCGTCTTGGGCGTTCGAACAATTTTGTAAAGCAGTCGATGAGAGAACTTTGAGGGGAAACGTTGGGCTTTGTTCTCCTAATTATTGCAAGCTGCTTTGTACATGGGTTAGTGTCATTGTACAACCTAATAGACATGTTGACGTGGCTAATGGAATAGGACTTGTATTTAATTCTGGTGAAGTAATGGCGCATGAACATGTCGGATAAGTTGATTGGAGAAACCAAACAAATACGGGTTGGTCACAGTGGGGGGGGGGGGGTTTGGGGGGCATTTACTTGTGAAATGTGATCCATCAGGTCAAATGGTTTTTTTGTTGTTTTTTTTAAAAAAAAAAAAAAGGGGGGTGTGACGGGGGGGGGGGGGGGGGTTTGGGGAGCATTTACTTGTGAAATGTGATCCATCATGTCAAATAGTTTTTTTGTTGTTTTTTTTTAATTTAAGGAGGTGAGTGTAATCCCTAAATTCGGGGCCGGATTACTTGTTGAGAAATTTGGTGATTAATGATAAGGTAATATGAGCCAAGGGTTCTCAAATTTTGATTTTGTTTAAGAGAGATGTCATGCATTAAATGACCGGGCGATGTGAGCAATAAGTTCTCAAATTTAGATTGTGTTAAAGATAGCTGTGATACAATTGAATGAATCACTAGGTAAGATGAGCGTGCTCAAACTATGAAGGAACAACCACAACAAAATCTACTTATAATTCAGACAATTTCCAAATTAACTATAACTTATTTGAAAATCAATTAAACACGATCTCATTAATTAATTAACGTGCTAAAATTACCTAACACTATATATACATTTGGTAACTTACTGATAGGCTTACACTGGTAATTAACGTCAATCACATTGACCAACTGCCCGGTCACATCACAGCTGACCACTCTACTGCGTCTCATGTTACGAGATAACAAGCACCGACTCTTGCCATTACAATGTCTTCTAAAGGTTTGCATCAGAACACTGGACGCATTCACCAGTTGGTAGCAGTATTGCTTTTCCTTAAAACATATTTTTAATGATTTCCAGATGAAGAAAATTGAAAAAAATGTCTAGACCATAGCGTAGTTCATAATTATGTAACATATAATGTGAACAACGTTTTGAAAGTAGAGTAGATTTAAAGAAGTGTCAATATATGAAATTAATATAAAAAAAAAGTAAAGTCATACAGGGAAAAAAGAAACGTAACAAAACAACGAACGTGTTGACAGAAAGCCTTCGTCAGCGGACAAAACAAAAAAAAAAAACATATTTTTTTTTAAATTTTAATTAGCTGAGAAGCAGTATTCTAGAGAGCAGCAAAAGAATTGTGTCAAAATAACTATATTGCACTGTCGTAAGTTTCATCGTAAATAAATTTTAAAAAACAACAAAAAAAAAAAAACCTCATTAATCATGTTTCTATAATTTATATCTTTATACAGGACAAATCTTTACCAAATAACATTGCCGTGGGCGAGCTGTCAAACCCTTTCAATGAGTTCTTTATAGCGAAAGTTACGAAGATCTGGGCAAGACTTGACATTTGCACCGATGCGCCCGAATTCTTGCAGTATAACGGCACACCTCTGAGCGAATTTTTGGAGGTCACTGAGCCGGATGTTAAGAAAATCCTTGTTGACTCCCCGAAAAGGTCATGTTTGTTTGATCCTCTTCAGGCAAGGCTGTTGTACGAATGTTTAGATGAAATAGTACCTTTCATAACTTATATCATAAATCGGTATTTAAAGTCTGGTCATGTTCCATCCTCTTTTAAAGATGCGGTTGTAACTCCACTACTAAAAAAGGTGAATGTGTTTGAAAATTATCGCCCCGTCTCTAATCTACAATTCGTATCCAAAATTTTGGAGAAAGTCGATCTCTGCAGCTCCTGGATCACCTCACTCGGTGCGACTTGTTTGAGCCTTTCTGTCAGCATACAAGGCGCATCACTTTTTCGAGACAGTTGTTTATTGTTGCAAGGTATGAAAGACTTAGAATGGGTAGGTATTCTTGTATGTAGTTTTGTAATGTTGAATGTGTACTTCAATGTTGTATGTACCACGCTTAGAGCCTTTGGGGATGAAGCGTGATTTTTAAATAATCTTTATTATTATTATTATATGACAAACTACTGCATACAATAAAATACTCTTTGTTGTTTTCTTTGTCTTTACAAAACTCTTGAAATTTATTGTGCTCACCTTGTACCGATATATTACACTGTTAAGGAGTATTCCTTCGCCATTGGCGTTCTTCTGACAGGCCTCTCGCTTGTTCGTTGACGGAATTGTTGAAACTCCCGAGTGTAATACTTCTGACGTCATCCAGAAAGCTTCAGTAGAGATGGTCAATGCTGAAATATATTATTTTAAGGTAACTGAATTTTTTTTTTTTTCAAAGTGTATTTTTTTTTATTTTTAAGACATCCTAGCTTGTCAAAAGAGTTAACAAAACAGGTTTGGATCAGTTATATTGTTAATTTTTATATTGTGTCAAGGAATATTTTTTGGTGCTGAATTATGTGTTCAGAAAATCATACTTTTTAAAAAATGATTCCTTCATTATTTAAGATTTTGTAAAAAAAAATTATACTTCTTTTATGTTCTTCATATTAATCCTAAAATGTTAATGACAACATACCTGATACCACAAATAAAGCATTCATAATTTCAAATAAAATCATTGTCTCTCTCTTTACTTGATATAAAGAATGTAGGCCTCGCCATTCGTCTCTGTGCGTTCTGTTTAGAAATGTTAGCTCATGAATTTATTTTGACTTTACTTCCTTCTTAAAATTAAAAGGTGGGGGGGGGGCCCTTGTGCTTTAGTAACATACTTTAAACATGAATAAAGTGACATTACACACGTCTGTTTATTAACATTTTAGGGTTTTATCATTTCTTTATAGCTGTCTCTCAAAAATGTCTTAAGACAAAACAGCCTTTACACAAAATTTAAAAGAAAAATCAATCATTATACAGTAATTAGTAAAAATTATAATATCTAATTACATTCAGACAATTCGCTCATCACAAAAGTATCTGAAAGCTTAGACAATACACACAGGCCGAAGCAGGAAGCTTAATACAATGTGAGTAATCTGTAGACACGAGTTAGTAAGAAACCACATTTCTTTCTTCCTTTTCTACTTTGTACTTTTTTATTGAGATTGGTACATTGATTTTTTTTTAAATTATAATTTTTTTTATATTTTCTTCGTAATTCCTTAGCATTACTACACACTATAATGCTATTGCCTTGAAAACTATTTTTTAAAACTAACATTCATGTTTCATTGACGTCATGTGTGTCTCATATTTGAAGACGCTATTTCGTAGAGCTGATACTAAAAAATATTTATTTTAAGAAATTAAATCCCTTTACAAGTAGAAAAAAATTATATTGTTGAAAAGCGGTAACACTGATCTATTAATTGTTTATAAACCGGGATTTTGTAAAACTATTCCGTTATTAGTAAATCTCTTCATATTTATTGGGTTGTTTCAAAATCACTTATACAAATTATACTCGTTTTGTATGACTTAGTTCTGACTTAATCACTAGCGTTTCCCATGTAGAGTTCTTGTCTATTTAGTCATCTTTCCCGTCCAAGTGAATTTTTTTTAAAGTTTTCTATAAAACTATTTTTAAATACGGAAGTTTAATCCAAGTTATTTTTAAATGAATAGCTAACTTGAACAAAGTGAATTTTAACTATCCTATTATATTGTTTCGTTTATTTATAATCATAATAACATTAAACAACTCAAAAACAAAAGCAAGGTTGAGGGTGGCTATTCAAGGGAACTTCAGATTAAACCCAGCCTATTAAGACAAAGAGAATCCTGTCTTGTATGCTATTTAACCTAACATTAGAGAGAGTTATAAGAAGCATACATACTGACTCCAGAGGAACAATAACAAACAGGATATTTTATGAAGGAAACCCAAGACTAAGAACTAATAGGCACTCTCTACAATCAACCTCTTCAGTATATTGCATATGCTGATGACAAAGCACTGTTAGGGAAAAGTAGTAAAAAATATCTTTAATTTTTTGGATTGGAAGACACATCACAAGAAAGGATTGAATTTAACACCCCAACCCCCACCCAAAAAAAACAAGAAAACCCCTAAAAAAATATGATTAAGCAAAGAGAAGAATAGACACATCAATTATCAAAATTAGAAACTAGCTTTTTGAAAAAGTAAAACAATTGTAATGGCAAGGCTCATTTATAAAGGAAAGAAATGAATTACTAACTCAAATACAAGAAATAATATTGGCTGGACACCGGATATACTTTAGTAAACATAAAACTATAAAACTGTAATCAGACCTGTTGTAACATACGCAAGTGAAAGAAACAAACAAAAAAGACCCCCCAAAAAAACGGCAGAAAACCTCTTAAACACATGTGAGAGAAAGGTTCTTCCGGAAAATATATGGACCAAGAAATGATGCATACGGATGGAGAATTCGAGCGAACCAGGAATTGTAAAGTCTATATCCGGATCCCACGCTAGCAGCATAAATAAAAAGAAATAGTTACGCTGGAAATGACACTTAGAGAGTATGACAAATGACAGAGGAATGAAGAGGGTGCGTCACCAAAACCCGAGACGAAAACGGCTGACAGGCAGACCTAAAATTAGAATGATGGATGATGTGGAAAATGATTTAAGCAGTTGGAAATCCAATCATAGAAAAGAGAAGTATCAGTTTGGTCTGAGTGGAAGGAAGTGGTGAAGCAGGCCCAATCCCTACATGGGCTGTAACGCCACAGGGATGGGTAGCTAAGTATTTATTGTTGAACCGAGTAACATTTAGAGAAAACAAATTGTAATGTACCGCTATCAGTATAAAGAAATTCAGCTCTTATTTGACCCTATGGCTCGTGTCAAACAGTACACAAGAAAAGTGTGTTCGTGCGTCTGTGGAATTATATTCTGACGGCTCAATGGGGCATTTCACTCCCTCCGATCAAGATGATTCTTGGCACATAGGCTCGTTTCCGTCGACAAAATATTCTTTCAAATTTCCATCCACACTCCCATCACACAATATTCTTTCAAATTTCCATCCACACTCCCATCACAAAATATTCTTTCAAATTTCCATCCACACCCCCATCACAAAATATTCTTTCAAATTTCCATCCACACTCCCATCAAAAAATATTCTTTCAAATTTCCATCCACACTCCCATCACAAAATATTCTTTCAAATTTCCATCCACACTCCCAAACACACAGCAACCAAAATTCAATTTATCCTGTTTTTAAAGTGTAAGTGAACTGACCCACATTTCTCCATCCTTTCTACCTGAAATGTTACCCATATACCCTTTGTCAATGACAACACATTCTTTTAATATTTAGACCCACCCTACTTCCCCACCAAAAATTGAACTTTTATTAAACATTAGTAATGGCTCGTAAGGTGTGTCGGCAAGTTTCCTACTTAGTAAAATAATATGGGTCGGCGAAAATCCCAATGCCTTAGTGGAAAAAATATATTTGGACTGAAAATGACAAAGTGATTTAAAGTGGCCACATTCTCTAATCGTGATATAGATTAAAACACGTGCTATGACATAACCTTTCACAAATCGTGAATTAAGCTCTGACCTCAATATGGACAACTCATCGCCCTAAAAGAATTATAAAATCTGTGCACATCGATAAAAAAAAACGGCGTGCTATAATTAGTCTGGATTAATGGCGTCTTTCTGTAATGAAGTGGCTGAAAGGAATTTGAACAACTGAAGCAAAAAGTAAAATGGAACATGTAGCTGTTCGAATTTGGAATGATAATTCTCAATAGACGAAGATATTGCACACGTGGGTCTTGTCATTCGTTGTTTTCAGTACGTTGTCAGTCAAGCGGAAATAATTGTTAACTTAGCGGTGATTGACATTTATTAAGAACTGACAAATTTTGTTGTTTTTTTTAAATTAAGAAACATATTCCACTTAGAATTCGTCGCCAAAAAAAAAAAAAAAGAAATCCATTTTTATACATTGTATTTAAATATTTTAATTTTTATAACATTTTTTAAAGTCCTATTAGGTCTTGTCATTCGTTGTTTTCAGTACGTTGTCAGTCAAGCGGAAATAATTGTTAACTTAGCGGTGATTGACATTTATTAAGAACTGACAAATTTTGTTTTTTTTTTTAAAATAAGAAACATATTCCACTTAGAATTCGTCGCCAAAAAAAAAAAAAAAAGAAATCCATTTTTATACATTGTATTTAAATATTTTAATTTTTATAACATTTTTTAAAGTCCTATTTCAATTTGTGTATTGTTATCCTTTAATGTTTAATCACCTACTAGTTTTGATCATGCAGCTCTAGCAGTCTTTCAATTTTGATAGATTTTAGTTCATTTCCCATACCAATCTTCCAATCATCGCTGTGCACAGGAAATATTCCAGCAGACTGGAGAACAGCGCATGCCACTCAACAGTTAAGTATAAACTGATACAAATTCATGTAGCTGTGTTAGATACTTACAGAATAAGTCAAAAGACTCAAGACAGACAAGCCAATTTCAAATAAAGCTTATGAGCGGCTTATCCTCTAAAAATAAAAGAAAAGGTGTGAACACACTTTGTAACCTCTATGGAACAAAAATAAACAAAACATTCTCAACTAAACTAGACAATCTGAGACAATACCACTTTAAGGTTGTATTGGATAAAATCGACAGAGTCATTCCTCTTTGATTTGTATTCCAATTTTTTTTCTTGAAATACACATGTTCCACGTTTGCTATGCAATTTTTTTTTTTAAATCGTTCTATTTGACTATAACATTACAAGCATTACAAGCGTTACAAGCGAAGACAAAATAGTTGAGTTAAAAGGTAATTTACATGACACTAAATTGATTGTACGACAATTAGTAAGTAGCATATTTTTTTGGCTTAAGACATTCAAATCTATATATTGAATTCACAATATATATAAAAACAAATTTTTGATGTTTATTTATAAAAGCTAAAGGCATTTCTTTTGTCTTCCAGTTTCTTCTTCGTGTTTTTAACATATAACTAAACTTATGTATTTAACATATAACTATACTTTACCATGTTGACATTGTTTGTGAAAGGTTGGACTCTGGGACAGAAACAATCGTTTCAATAGTTGGGTTAATTCCTTGTTGACTGTCGGGAAACTGATGTTTCAGAAATCATTCAAGCGGGGTAAAATCCAACCTACCTGTCATGCGAATGCAGTCCAACTCAAGGCATAGATTAAATAAGCTTTAGAGATGTATGCTTTGTAGTACGCATGCGTGTCTAGTAGAGAAGTCTATCGTGTGTACTCCTTTAATCGTGTTCAATAGGTATAGACAAGAGAATATGTGTTTGGTGTTTGGTTCCTTCAAGAATAATTCCAGAATGTTGTTCAAGAAGCTCTTGGTAGTTTTTCTACTGCAACTATTTATTGTTAATGTGGTGAATCAGTTCTACCTTCTACTTTTAATGTCGTCAAATTTATAAACATTTTAGCTAATTTTCTAAATCTAGATACACATTTTTTTTCATTAACAAGCAGTAAAGCGGCTCAGTCTAGCGTGAGTGGCTGTGAATGCGTTTAGAGTTACATTTCATTCCACTTAGATTAAAACTTAAGAGTTTTCTGTGTTGGGGGAGACAGTCAAATACCACAATGTGCAATTTTCTCCTTATAGGAGGTGATTTTAACTTTCCTAGTTGGAACTGGCAGATTC